CTTAGAAAATTTCTATCCTTCAGAGATGTCACCTGGGCAAATGTGGATCTTGGTCCTTGTGTCTGTTCCAAGATCAAATCTTCCAAATTTATTAAGGATCAGCAGTTCCTATCTATTTGGCTTAGTAACTATTCTTTTGGTACTGCACTATTGCAATGTTTATGATCCCAGGCAGAGTGTTCTCATACAAGGGAGAACTCCTGATTGTAATAGGTATGGCATCCTGGCTAATGTAGTTCAATCAGCAATAACAATAGCATCAAAGCACAGTTTAGACGCTAACAAACAGTAGTAACTATTAATTTGATATCTTGAATTATAGAAGTAAGATTTATAGTTATGTAACACAATCCAATATAAACCAGAAACTTGTATGCAATGGGTTTCCCATTAGTAGAGTAAATTTACCCTGTAGAGGGGAATTTTAAAAGGGATGGGGAAAACAGAAATATAAATGAAGGACAACATAGTATAAGCAAGACTAGAGGACAAAGGATGATCACACAAGCTTTGGGATACTGGAGAAGAGGGCATGAGAGAAAGAATGCTGGATGAAGCAAAACAATATCAAAGTGAATCTATCCAGATGAGAGATACTTTTGCCTCACATAGAAATATCACAAAACAAAGAGAGATACAGAGAAGAGAGGGAAAGAAGTTAAGCAGAACAAAATGAAAATAAAAATATATCTTGATAAATAGGGAAGGGGAAAAATAAGAATCAGGACACATCACGTAAAAGTGGAAGTTCCCAATGATGAAATGTGGCTGTATTGTATACTTAAAATGTACCAATAAACTTAATGAAAAAATGACAAAAAAAGGCACCAACCATCCAGAAAAAGGAAAACAAAACATATAAAAAATGTATAATCATAAAGTTTCTCTGTTGTCCATTGTTCTGTGTTAGTTTCCAAAGCAGGTAGTGTCCCAAACTGTGCTGTGTAATCCCACCAAGTTTGCAGTAGGATTAGTGCTGGTTTTGAGCTGAATTTGGCTGAAAGCTGGCACTAATCTTCATCCAGCAGTTTTTTGGTTATACCTTGACTGCTGTCCCAGGTCTGCTATGGACCCCTCAGGCAGGGACTGCCCTGGGCTGCTCCCAGTCCTCTGCTCCACCTCCACTAGCATATGTTTATCCCATCCTTCTGCTTGTTGCAGGAGCATAGGGATAATGTTGCTGCTGAGGAAGCAGACAAATGCTGTTTTGTTCCCCTTCAATCTCCTCTCCAGAGGTTTGAGTGGCTACCTCTCAAGGCTATTTTAATCCCAGGCATGAATCTGCATCCTTATCTCAAGTGGCTTGCCACCAGTCACTTCTTTCATCACCTCTGCTGCACTGCAGTCCTTAACTTAGCTGTCATTAGAGTTGCCAATTAGCCTCTTGGGCCCCAACAGGAAAAAAAATAGGAGATCAGACAGTTGGGGAGGGATCAGTTTGCTCTTGTGTGTGCTGGTGAAGTTTGATGCCAGGCTGCAGCATCCTCTCTGTGTAAGAAGGCAAAAGAGTCAAGAAGTCTTATATCCAAAATGTATGCTATGTAACATTAGTTAATCACATTTTTTTCATTTCTTGGAGACCTCCCAGTGTGGTGATGCAGCTAATGGCATCCCTGTGGGCTTCTAGGCTGTTTTATGAAGTCTATGTTTTGTTTGATATGTAAATCTCTTATTTCAGATTGATTTTGGCATCAGGATGTACGTCCCTCAATTTCTTCCAGTTACTTGTACTTTTAGCTGATTTTTCTTGAAGTAGCCCCAACATAGTTCCTCCTCTATTCAGACATGTTGAAGCCTCCCCAACGTAAAATATTTTAAGCCAATTGGAATTTGAAAACAATAATGACAAATAAAACAAGGCTATGAATCAAAGATACAGAAAAATAAATGCAGTTAACTCATAAACAGGACAATATGCTCATTTCACCGAGCACTAAAGAAAATCAAGTGAAAGTATTAGTTTTTAAAAAATCTTAGGCTAGTGTTTTCTTAGAATTTATATATATATAT